ACCTGCTGCCTGCTCTCTCCCAGACACCTCTCTTCCTAACCCTTTCGCTTCCCTTCACACAAAGGGCCCAGGAGGCAGCTGTAGAATCGACCGGGTAGCGTAGAGCCCCGGCCATTGGCTTCTCCCTGGAGATGTGTTCTGGGCACGCTGGCACTCCAGGCTGGTTCTCTGGAAGGCAATTCGTGTGTGTGGGGGGGTGGCTGTGTGCATTCGGAGTGGGCCACCTGGAAGGAGTATGCGAGGAGCTAAGCATCTGGGTAGCGGGAGACCCCCGTGGTCTCTGTGACCGCGCCTGTGGGCAGGCCCCAGCCCCAGAGGCAGTCCGAGCATTTCGTGGTCTGGGCACGCTGGCACTCCAGGCTGGTTCTCTGGAAGGCAATTCGTGTGTGTGGGGGGGTGGCTGTGTGCATTCGGAGTGGGCCACCTGGAAGGAGTATGCGAGGAGCTAAGCATCTGGGTAGCGGGAGACCCCCGTGGTCTCTGTGACCGCGCCTGTGGGCAGGCCCCAGCCCCAGAGGCAGTCCGAGCATTTCGTGGAGGGACAGAGACCCTGTTCCAACGTATTACAGAGTGGCCTGCGTTCCTAAGAGGGCGTGTGGACAGCGCCCGGGAGCATTCACACTGAGAGAAGCAGTAAGGCCAATCCGAGTGCCATCTGTGACTCCCTTCTCGTCCACCCCCGGACCCAGCACCATAGAGAGCACTTTGTCCTTCCTGTGCCTTTGCAGACAGGACGTGTATTTGCTTCACGTTCTACCTGGTGCACAGATGCTTTGGTGACAGGCTGTGTGTGTCTCTCAAACAGACCTAGAGGAAATGCTGCTGTTCAAGCAATGAAACGTTAATGTCTCTTGTTGCCCCACACAGCAGCTTTAAAGGGACGGGCTGGCTGGTGCCCCGTTGCCAACTTGCACCACTGTGGACAAATAGCCATGCTGGGGTGTCCTCCAGCTGGTGTAAAACCCCAGCTCTTCCCTCCTTCCCTCGGCCTAGGAAGGGCGGAGGTCAGTGCTCAGACCATGGCAGTTGCAGAGGGAGGCTCTAAATCAGAGGTAGGAGGCCCGGGGACCGGATGTGGCCTGTGGCTTGCCAGGATCTGGTCCCTGAGGCTCGGGGCGCCCCTCGGCTAAGGGAGCCTGCGCTGACACTCTAGCCCCACTGCCATCTCCCAGTGGGACTGGAGCACACACAATCTATTAGCCTGGACCATCCCACCCCCCAGCCTCTGGTGTGCGAGGGGAATAGTTTCTGCTTCTCAGTCGGGGGCCCATAGTGAGCGTTGTGTGCGGCCCCCGACTGATTTTTCTGTGGATCAGCGGCTCCCGACCCAAAAATGGTTCCCCAGCCCTGCTCTAAATACACACACTGATGAGCTCTTCTGAAAAACTAGCCCATAACTAATCACTGTGCGCCCCATGGGGGCGATGGGCAGCTTTTGGCTGGTTCTTCGAGTCTCAAGAGCCGGAACAGGACGCCATGATCCGGGGCACAGGCCAGGGCTGACGGCAAGCACAAGCTGCCCCTGGGGACGGCTCCACTGCTTGCTGACTCCGTAACTTAGCAGGCCCTGGAGGGGCCAAAACACTTGACCCTGGATTTCCTGCCCCGTGGCAACTTAACATCCCTGAAGCTGGCTTGCCCAGTGCAGCACTTCCAGCTGCTAAGGCTGGGACCGTGCCTATGGAAACAGAGAGAGTCGACGGAAACGCAGGAACTCCAGCGAGAGCATGAAGAGTTTGAAGCAAAGCGACCACGCCAGGGATGGAAAGGAAAAGGAAGGCTGTGCGGCGAGCCATGTTTTAGTCACCGCTGGGGGCGCGGGCGGCGGGCGAACGCAGCCAAGTGGAAGGCGGAAACGCCACCGCACGTAGGCTCTGGCGCAAGTCACTTTTCTGCTCGTTGACCTGCAGCTGGAGCCCCTAATGGCCCTCGACAGCAGGAGTGCAGTAGTTAAAAATTAACCAGCGCGAGCACTAATTAAATATGGATGACGAGTGCTCGCTGTGGGCTTGGCCTGCCACCAGGCTCAGCACGCCTGGCTGCCCCTTGCTCAGCTCGGCATAGCTCCCTCCACAAAGCCACATGTAACTAGAGTGTTGTTGGACAGCAGGGATTTGAACCATCCCTGCCTGGATAACTTGCTCTTAAATATCATCAGCGATGGAGATTCCACAGCCTCTCTGACAAATTTATTTCACCACCCCGAAGCGTTTCTGAATGTTCAAACTAACCCTCTCTTGCTGCCTGTTGCTTCTGGCCTATCCGCAGCAGTGAAGGAAAACAGTTTTCCTCCATGTAACAGCCATTTATGTACTTGAAAACTCTTATGGTCCCCTCGCTTTTCCAAACGAAATCATCCCAATCTTTGCTCATACGTCATGTTTTCTAGACCTTTGATTATTTTTACTGTGCATCTCTGAACTCCGTCCAGTTTGTCCACATCTTTCCTGAAATGTGGCACCCAGAACTGGACACGATACGCCACTGGAGGCCTAATCAGCACAGAGTAAAGTGGAAGGAGGACTTCTCATGTCTTGCTCACAACACTCCTGCTAACAGAGCCCAGAATGGATTGCTTTGTTTTCCAGAAGTACTGCTTGGGGGGCTGGCATTTTCCATTCTGTTCCTGTGCAACTGACTCTTCCTTCCTAAGCAGAGGACTTTGAATTTCATGCTCTTTACTGTAGACCAGTGCTCTGGTTTTCCAGATTATTTTGAATTTTAATCCTGTCGTCCAGAGCACTTGCAATCCTTCCCCTTGGTGTTAGCTGCCAACTTTGTAAGTGTACTCGCTCTGCCAGTGGTCCCCACTCTCTTTATACAGGGGCCTGGCAAAACCATTCACAAACTTTGGGTGAACTGGCAACATTTTATTTGCATATTCATTATTGCATATGCAAATAAAATACCAGCCCACCAAAAGCCCCAGCCCCAATACCAGCCCTAACCCCTCGAGCATCCTACCCAGCCCAGATCACTGACCCCAGCGTCCTCGGCACCCAACCCGTCCTCCCCCGTGTCAGCCTCCCACCCTCAGAGCCCCCCAGTGCCAGCGCCTCTTAGAGCTCCCATCTGCAGAGGCTGCCCTGTTCCCCTCACCTATCCCTGGGCTGCCTCCCAGCTGAGCACTGCTGCCTGGGTCACAGCTGCTCTAAGGATGCTGTGCTGCCCTCCCATTGTGCAGCAAAGTGCTCTTCCGTGTCCAGGAACAGACCCTGCCCCTGCCTGGCGCTGGTTGTTTGGCTGAGAGGCGGGGCAGGACACACCTCTCCCAACAGCCGCTGTGGCCCAGCCGTAAGCAGTACGTGGCCTGGCGGTTGGGAACTGCTGCTCTATGCCGTCATCTAGATCATTGATGAAGATACTGAAGCACCCCCGAGCCAGAGCTGATCTGTTTGGCACCCCGCTTCTAATGCCCTTCCAGCGTGACTGTGGACCACTGAGAACAACCCTCCGAGAACAGGCTTCCAGCCAGTTATTGCATCCACCTTATAGTCCTCCATCGAGGTGGGAGTTCCCTCATTTAATGAAAGCAGCACACAAGACCCTGTCAAAAGCCTTACTCAAGTCTAGGTATCCCACGTCTACCGCTTCCCCCCATCCACAAGGCTTGTTATCCTGTCAAGGCAAACAACGGCTAAAGCTGCTCAGCAACATTCAGCTAGTATTTAATTCCCAATTAACTTAAATAAGAAAGTTAAATAACGTAGAGCCCTTGAGACCGTTGCAGTGGGGTAGCTGGTGACCTGAAAGCACTTTTGTGGAGGAGAGTTGACTCCAACATTATTTGACAGTAGGGTTGCGCAAGCGGCTTTGCTTTAAAAACAAACTTCCGATTTGGCCGCATGTCCATATTTTCAGATACTGCTAATTACAGGAAGAAAGATGCTAAATATTATTGCAGATATGTTCTTGCCTTGTCAAATAGCATTTGGCAGGTAGCATCTGCAGTGTGGCTGAGACACAGGGAAAAAAAGGAAAAAACTTACTCGGTTAGTGAATTACAAGGGACTACAGATAGCAATGCAATTCTCCCTTCTCTCGAGAGAGAGAATTATTTAATAGACACCTTCGGCAAGTCTAACCGTGTGTGAGAGAGCTTTATTGCTCCTTTATCAGCCACTTTACAGCTTTTATTTGTACAGAGTTCTGGGAAATGGAGCAGAGTCAGGGTTAGGTCATGCACAGATGAATGTAAAAGCCAGCACGATCTCTGCACAACTCTTCTGGCAGTAACTGAGCAAGTGCTCACTGGTGAAGCATGACTAGGCCGGGTCACTGCTGGAGGAGGAGCCTGACTACACATGCCTACGTGTGGCCCTGGGATGCTGTCGCTCAGTTGTGGACAGGTCTGGTTCTAGCGGGTGTGGTGTCAGAGCATCATGGTCGTTTCTTGCCATTAGAGCTCACATCTAATGTCCCACATTTTAATTGGCAGAATTAGGCATCCCACCTACTCATTTAGGGGTGGAAATCCTTTGCTTCCTCTTGTCTTTAACTGTTGTATAGCGTTGCCATGTGTTGTCAAAAATCGTCCTTGTGCCAGCATTTCAATTTGTGCAAATGCCTGAAATTCTTCGAGCTGAAGGGCACTTACAGCCGCAGTCGTCGTCATAGAAGGGAAAGCGCCAAAACGTTTGCTGCTATCTCTGGTATTTCTTCACGTAAGCTCCTTTTCAGCATAATGAAAACACAGCTGCAGCCCTAATGGTTTGCAGGGCTAATGGTCAAGAGCTTCTACAGATGCGGCTG